CAAGAAACACAGAGCCGTACAGCTCTGAGGTAGTCCTCAATCATTACGGAGTCCATGCTCAGATATGAAGTTGTGGTGGCACAGTGTTTCTTGGTCATCCTTTTGTCAAAATTTAATTAAAATTCTGCCTATGTCATGAAATCCCAGTGCACTTCTCACAAGTAGGGACATACTGTAAATTCATGCATATTGTTTATCCTCAGCTTCTTAATCTTCAATCGTGTTTGTTTCTGAATTGCTATGTGTAGTACTAAAAATATTTTTGCCCCTTGTCACTTTAGTGACTGGAAAATACTGCAGTGGTGTACTTCCAGAGGAGCTGTTACTTCTGTTTGACTGGGGTTTTGAAATTCTTGAATGACATGTGTACTGAGAAGTCTCAGAAGTCTCAGTGTTACTTTCCTAGCTTGCAGGCTCTCCAAGCCACTTTTTTACTGCTGTATATAATATAATATTGCAGAACACTTTGGAATTACTTTTCTTCTTGAAAGTCAGGATTCCATCTACACCTCTGGCTGTCCAAAAACAAAAGAGAAAGTCAGAATCTGACATATCTTTACAGTTACTAGTATATTATGCTGCAGTTTAGTACTGTCCTAGAGACTTGTTCTTTCTAATGCTTTCGTTTCCATTTTTTTGTCCCTCAGTCTACTCCCCCTTTCTACAAAGTAAAAGAGATGACTGTACCAACTGCTGTATGGACTGGTGGACAGGATTTGCTGGCAGACCCAAAGGATGTTGCCATGCTGCTCACTCAGATCACAAACTTGGTTTACCACAAACACATTCCAGAATGGGAACACTTGGATTTCATCTGGGGCCTTGATGCACCTCACCGCATGTATAATGAAATGATTAACATGATGAGGAAGTATTCGTAAACCAGTGTTGTATTTCAGAGTATTAGTTCACCAGAAATCCACTTTTCTGGAGCATTTGATTTTCTGGCAATAATGCTACATTGCTTATTTATGTTATGTTTTTAAAATGCCGGGAATGACTACTGAATAGGATTCACATTTGATTTTTTTTTCTCAGTGTTATTTTTCCCTCTTGCAAAAATCCTCATTCTAACCTGCTGATTTTGCACACAGTGGCACAAGATCAAAAAACAAGCAGTGTAACTTTGCACACATATCATGTGTATAGATTTAGTTATGTCTGAAAGACAAAATAGTCCACTGAGCACCAGAGAACTTGAGAATTTAGAAGTGTTTTGCTCTGTGTGAAATGCTGCCAGTTCTTACTACATTGCCACTTCTGAGTACCTGTCAGAAGTACTCCTTGTATTGCAGTGACCCCATTTGATGCTGGTACTTCAAAAAGCACTTAGTGACTTCCTGTTGTGTTATTTTAGCCATTATTCAGAAGCTAGCTACATCAGGTGATTTTCTTTTTCAATATTGCCAAGAATTGTCTTGAAGTCATAGAAGATCACCACTGTCGATTGGAAATCAAGAAAAATGCACTAATCAAACAGCATCACTGAAACTTTCCATGTTCCACATAATAGCTATGGATAAGGATTGTTACTTGCCCTTGCTAAATCCTGGAACAGAAGAAGCAGTTAGAGGGAATAAAAGAAATACCACTTTTATCTTTGTGAATAGGTTGTGACTTACTCGGAGAATGATGTAAAACATTTGTGTTTTATTTGCACTGACCGCTAGAAAACCTTCCTTTCCCCCTGCCGCTACACTTCTGGTCAGGGAAGAGCCAATGTATTAATTCTATATGTTGAACAACTTAGTTTGCATGGACTCTTCCATCCGCTGCTTTGGAAGTCTGTTTACTTTTTAGCTGGTTGTATGGTGCTTGCCGCCATTGTGTTCAGGAACTGTAAAGCACGGTGGTGAAGCCTGGCAGTATTTACATCAATTTCCATTTGTCTGTTTCCACTTTATAATGGGGCTAAGCCCCCATTCAGTGGGGGTAGAGAATTCACATTTGCTTTAGAGGCCTGACTTTGGAGCTACAGTTGTCTCTGGTATAGGTGCCTTGCTCTTTCCGTTGACTGTGCAGAGAACTTTGGCTCCTCTGAATTTCATGCCTAATGGAGATGAACAATCTCCGGAGTCAGTTACCTCAGTCCAGATGGTAATTTCTGTGCCATAGTTGGAGTTTGTTCCAGATCTCTGTAATCCTAAGAGAAGGAACTGCCTTTTGTATATGGCATAGAAAACAGTACACTTTAAACTGAGGCAGCCTCTTCTTCTTTTTTTTTTTTTTAATTGGAAAAAGGAAACCACACAAGAAGTTGTGTAAGCCATAAATTAGTGTTTGTTTTGTTGTTTGTTTTTTTTTTTTTTACTCCTAATTCAGTCTCAGGGAGTCCTCAGGCTTTGTTTAAGGAAAAAAGTGGTTTGTGGTATTTCAGTTGTGATTCCTAGCAGGACCTTTAAGTTTGCTTTGTATTTGTAGCAGCTACATTTGCTTCACAATGATGTGCTGGAAGGAAGACTGTAGGAATCCCAATTGACTAACTCTGCAGCTGTGATAGTATGATGGCAAAAGCCATGTGTGTTACATTCATTAAACTTGAGATATTTCAATAAATGTGAGAGACCTGCTCAGAGTTTGGAGTGATGTGATCTGTTTGACTTCTTGTTTCATGTATGCTTGTGAACCTTTGTGGCAGAGAATGCAGAGAGCCAAGTCTATTCTCACAGCTGTTCATCCATAAAATAAGTACAATATAAAAGTACAACTTCCATTTTACTTTTGTCATCAGAAAGGCTTTGCCTAAAAGTAAAGGGCCATTCATATTGTTTCAGAAGATTTTTCTGAGACTTCTAGGTAAGGTACAAACTATAAATAACTGCTCAACTACTTAGTCATTCTCTAAGCCTGTAGGTTAAGAGTTTCTTTCAAAATACTGACGTGGTGAAAAGCTTCTTGTGTTACATTCTTAAACCTTGGGTAATTAGATTGCTTAACTGAGTGTCTGGTAATCTCATAAATAGCATGTAACCACATTATACAACAGGGAAATAATATTTTTCTTGGTGAATTTGACGTGAATGCCCAGCATCAGTAATAAATAAGCTCAGGCCATACCTTTCTGTCCATCCTGAACGCAATAGATGTGCAGTCAGGATAGCAGGGTGTTTTGCCAGCTTTGTTACCTGTTAGAATTCCTGTGTGTCTGGAAATAAAACCAGAATAATGAAAGCTTTAAACAAGGCCATTCTGGACCTCCTCTCCTTTGCTGGAGCAGGGATGTCTGTGGAAATTGGGAGCTGCTGTGCTGTCCCTGGCCTGCTAGTTACAAGCATTTCATAAGACAAAGTTGGAGAGGCATTGTCAATGGAAAGAGACATGCAAGATAACACATCTGAATGTGATGGAGAAGAGCAAGATTTTTGATCTAGTAAGGAGCAATACTGAATGCTGCATTTTTTGAAGCAGATCTTACGTACTTGATGCCTGTTCTATAGACCATTTTTCTCTTACAGTGATGTTGAAGATTGGCTGAAAGATAAGCTTCAAATAATACAAAAGCTGACAGAGAGCATAGGACACCTTCCACTGACATTTGGCAATGTGAGCCAACTACGGCAGGGAGCTGGAGACAGCGGTCCCTGTGCAGCTCATGGATTGTCAGACTCACTGACCTGTCTGTATGTGAGCAGCACGCACCATCCTGGGCTGCCGCTCCCGATCTGCAGCACAGATGGGCACACAGGGGTTGGAACGCTGGTACGGAAATACTCAGATTCAGAAAACCTGCTCGTTCTGTTAAGAAAACTAGGCTGAGCTGAAGAGTTTCATCCAAACAGGAGAGAAATGAGTGCAGGAGAGGTCTTCAAGTGTGCAGCACACCAGGGAGCCCGGTGTTGGGGGGCTGCAGGAAGTAGTGGCTCTTGTCCCTTCTCTAGATTCACCTCCAGGATTTGACTCTCAATATACCAAAACATGAAGAGTCTACAAATTGAAAAAGACGTAAATATGCGAAGCCCTTTTTTTTCCACTCAACCTCCAGCCGCATCTGTGACAAAAATCTGCGCCTCCCAACTTCGTGAAGTCGCCAACCCCTGCCCAGAGCTCTGCTGTTCCAGGAGTGCTTCCACAGGCAGGAGCCTCTCCAGCCGGCAGCCCCTGACGGAAGGCTCCGCAGGGTGGCGCCGTTGTGCAGCGCGGCCGCCGCAGCCCTCATAGGGCCGAGCAGAACCGGGCGGCCGTCCCGGTCCGGGGGCGGCGGGCGGGAGGGCAGCGGGCGGGGCGGGCTCCTCGCACCGGGCTCCTGCAGCAAGGTGAGTCCATGTGCGAAGGCTTCAGTTTCACTGCGATTCCAGCTTGATTAGTTGTTTTTAAAGCGAGAAAAGGGACAGCCTTTAGCATCGTTTGCTGCGGCTACTCGCCTGCTCCCCTGTCACTGTCCTAAGTTTTCCTCTCCGCTCTGCAGCACCCGCCTGTGCCAGTGGGCTCGGCTGCACCGGGCTGTGCCTCAGCTCTGGTACAGCAACCATCTGTCTGCCCAGAGAGTGGGAGGCCGGCGGGAGGGAGAAAGGGTTTTGCCTCTGCTGCTGTGAGATTGGTTTCAGCATGCACATACCAGTTTCCCTTCTTCCTAACTTTTCCTTGCTTTCATAACCACTTGTTTGTGTTCTGCTATTTACCTCACTGCAGGGCCTGGGGTGGGTGCCTGTGTCTTGTGCTCATGTGGAATCTATTTAAGACCCTTTGCGGGGCCTCATTCCAAGCTATGTGCCCTTCAACCTAACTCCAGAGCAGCAGTCTTGGCTTTTTAAGAGACTCGTTTAGAGTCCTGTAACACATGGGGAAGCTGAGCGAAAAAAGCCAGGGCTGTATTCTTGAATTAAGTACAGAATGGATTTGTGTATGCTTTGTCTTTGCTTTGCTTTGTGTTGACAAGAAAACCTAAGTCAGAGGAAGGAAAATATGCAAAATAAGTGCTTTTTGATGGCAAAGCGAAGGAACTTGAAATCGGTTTCTGGAGAAGAAGAATTTGCTGCCTCTGGTGCGTGGCGATTCGCTTTCCTGAGCCTGAATTAATTCCCAGCAGGGTGCAACTTGACAGCAGAGTTCATCCTCCTGAGCGCCAGCAGATGGGGCACAGCGGCGGTGGCTTTGTCTGCCTCGGAGCTGCAGGTTGCCTCTGAGGTAAGCTGTGCTTGCAGCCCTCAGCTCGTTTATGCTTTATGTTACAGGATGTACTAGCAGTAAGGCTGCAAAGTTCTGTTATTGTTCCTTAAGGGATTTAAGAATATTTTCCTATGACATAACCTGCAGGCAAAATGCCAAAGTTTTAGCTGATAGACGTAATTGGTCCTACAGCTTCATGAGAATTCATATAGCCATTAATAATTAGTTGGAACACTGTCTTTAGGGCAGTTAATCCGTTTCCCTCAATCTCCCTTTTGACAGATTTGGAATATATTATGGAGAAGAATCAGTCCTTGCATAAATCTAATAAAATGGAGAATCATATATTGCGTCTGGGGGCTTAATTTCTGATTGTAACTACATAAATAAACAGAAAGCATCTCAGAAGAAAATGTTGCGTCTTACACATTGATTGAGTTATAAATGCATTTTTCATGTTCTTACTGTGAAATGGAGGTCAGTTTAAAACATACTTTCAGGACTGAAACAAATCTCTTGGATATAGGTCCTCATCCATCAGATTGGAATGTCTCACAGAGCTTTAGTTTCCCTACACTCAACAACCTGAATTAATTGAATTCAACAGCACAATCTCATGGCAGCAGAAAATCTGAATCTATTTCTAAAACGTGTGTGCAACAGATAAAGTTTTTGAAGTCTGTACCAGAGCTGTCTCCAACATAAAACTTCTGATTGACAGAATAATAGCACAAGTGATAGTAACATTACTGTTTCAGCAAACTGGAAGTCTAAGGAGGGAGCAAAATTTGTGTTTACTTTAGAGCAGAATCTCTTGAAGACGAAATAGCCGAAGCTGAAGACAAACTTAAGGATTAAGAAACATCCATGCATAGATCAGAAAAGTTCACTGCTAACTCATTATTCTTAATTATTAAGAAATGAGGAAACTCTCATTTACACCTGTAAAGATTTAAAATCATCTGAACAAGCTACTAAAGTCATCCAGGAAGCTGAGCTCATTTCCAATATTAGAATAAATGCTGTGTCTACAAAAGAGGTGAGTTCATAGGAAGCCGATGGCAAATTGTTTCCCTAAGTATTCAAAGGTTTGTTTGCCATTTTCAAGAAGCACAAAAGAAGTGATCTTGTAGCGTTGAATCAAGAACTCTTGTTTTTTATCACTGAAATACTTTCAGCAAATTAGAAATGCTGAGATTCAAATTTGCTAGCTTTTTCTGCTCAGTGCTTGTCTGTGATCAAAAGAAGATTCTTTAGAGGACACTGGTCTAACCAGTGAATCTTTTATTTACATTAAGTTGTGATGCTTAGGTGAAGAATCGTATCCTTGTACCATACTTGGTACAATGATGAATTCCATATCATATCCCTCAAAAGTATTGGTATACATCTTAATCATCCTGTGGCCAGCAGGCACAGGGAGGTGATTTTCCCCCTCTACTCCGCTCTTGTGAGGCCCCATCTGAAATACTGTGTCCAAGTGCGGAGCCTGCAGTACAAGAAAGACAGGGAGCTGTTGGAGAGGGTCCAGAGGAGGACCATGAAGATGATCAGGGGACTGGAGCACCACCCCTATGAAGACAGGCTGAGGGAGCTGGGCTTGTTTAGCCTGGAGAAAAGAAGGCTGCGGGGTGACCTCATTGCAGCATTTCAGTACCTAAAGGGAGCCTACAGAGGGGAGGGGAATCAACTATTTGAAAGGGTTGATATGTGTAGGACGAGGGGAAATGGTTTTAAGTTGAGGTTGGACATCAGGGGGAAATTCTTTACCTGGAGAGTGGTGAGGTACTGGAACAGGCTGCCCAGAGAGGATGTGGATGCCCCGTCCTTGGAGGTGTTCAAGGCCAGGTTGGATGGGGCCCTGGGCAGCCTGGTTTAGCATTAAACGTGGAGGTTGGTGGTCCTGCAAGTGGCAGGGGGTTGGAGATTCATGATCCTTGAGGTCCCTTCCAAACCTGGCCATTCTGTGATTCTGTGATTCTGTGAAACCTTACAAGATCTACACTGTGCTTCCAGTCTGAATGTAGTACCTATAATTTAGCTCCACTAACCACCAAACATCCATGGGTCAGACCTGGAGATTAGGTACATATACATCTTTGTAGCAGTCACAGAAAAAAATAAAAAATAGACTATGTTTCCTCACTTATAAAGGCAAAAGGATAGCAAAGGCTGATATAATGAGTAAAAGACAGCAGTCTTTCAAGTGTGTGCAGTAAGTGGAGTGGAAAATATTCTTACCCCCTTCCACTGTTAGAGAATTCTATGTTTCAATTTATTTTTCCTACTATGCAAGTCTTTTGTGGAGCTCCAGTGATTACCTGACCAGTTAATTCTGTCCTGATTGTAATGCATTACACCACTTCTATACAGGAAGGGAACTTCCTCCTTAAAGCCAAGCTAAATAAGGAGTTTCTGGGCGGAGTTGTCTTCTGAGCAGCCTAGATAAAAGCTTACCAGGATTTACAG